GTCAGGGCAATTTGCTATGTTTGTCCCCCTCCAATAACTTGCCCCCCATCAACTCTTAAGGGGGCCCCCAGCGATGAATGACGAACATGGAAACTCAAATACTGTAATGTGCTGAGCAGTAATTTGTCAAAATGGTGTTGACCAACAAAGTGAATTTCGCGCTCATCTCAAATTTATTTCTCAAAACTGACCAAAAGTGTTAACAGATAATCATCCACACTCTTAAGTACTGTTACCCTATTGCGATGCGTCTCAAACATTTGTACGACTGTCAATTATCCTTTATTTTTTTATAATTATAGTAAATGCCATAATATGTTCATCGAGGTCAGCTCCACTGTGTCTCAAGTTTTTATTCAGGTTGGCCCTGCATTTGGATTTTTAAAAAATATATCATGTCGGAGGAAACAAAGTGGCCCAAATAACCCCATGTATAAGAGGGCTCAACGCTAAAATGTGAGTACAGATAGGGGTCGCAAAATAATTCGCTGTACTGCCATCGGCATGCCACATTGCAGACGTTTTCTAGAAGTGAGAGAGACCAGGATAATTCCAACTGTAGCCACTATTCATTTTGACCTTTAGTTTTGGACATGTTTAATTGGATTTATACACTTTACGTGTACTCTGTCATAGTCCTCTGTACTCATTTTGAAAGTTGAAATACCGTCATATAACTTCTCGTCTAAAACAGCAACATGACGAATGCACTGATACTCCACTACCTGTTTTACTTCAAGCATACAGCCATAGCGATGCATAAACACTGCACATAACACTTATAACAGGAACACATTATTTACTCTAATTACATAGACATGCGATGCAATCTAAAGCTATTGCCGTGGTTAAAAATGTAAAAATACAATGCAGGCTGTGTATATATTTATTCAAGCTTGAGGTGTGTTCCTGCATTGCATTACACGACTGTACATAGCTTAAGGCGAGCTCAGGAACAAGAGGGGATTTTTGGGGATTCCCCTGTTTCCTGATAACGCCTGCCATAATATACACAATGACACAGCATCAGCAGGTAGTTTAGTATCGGCATATAGGTAGTTTATCGGCACAGTGCGCTAAAAGCATTCTAATCATCACGTCTTAATGGGGCTAAAACAATGGACTGTCTTGCAGGGTTAATTTCAATAACAGCTGCTATTAATGTCACACAAAAGTACATTTGACATCTGCATCGTTTTTCACAATGCACATTTTGAATGATGGCTAAGCTTACACGTATACATTAGATCTAAGGTTGCACCAGATACGCAGACTCGGTTCAACATACAAACCAGCTTTTTGTAAATGTCTCGATGCTCAGAATATATAGTATATACACCTATTCGTTATTCGATACGCAAATCGCATGCATTCCGTATTGGTTCGCCATCTAAATCATCCAGCCTCAGCACCCAAATGCGTACGCTTGCGTTTGGGGGGGGGGTCTATTGACAATTTACGCATAGTAAACGGGGGGGGGGGGGGGTGAAGCCTCGATAATAATCTGTCTAAATTGGCCTTCAGATGAGCCACAGTTCAGTTCATTCAGCTGTGAGACAACAAGTACTACCGGGAGAAGTGGGACTGTGGGAGAGGTGTCACTTGTGTGCCACCGTGCCCCTGACTGCTCGCCATCACGCAGCTCAGCAGCGAGTCTGACATACCGTGACGACCTGACCCACCATGGATGATGACCGGTACACATCCTGCAATCTGGCCTCACTGGCCTGACTCACCATGGATGATGACCGGTACACATCCTGCAATCTGGCCTGACCCACCATGGATGATGACCGGTACACATCCTGCAATCTGACCTCACTGGCCTGACCCACCATGGATGATGACCGGTACACATCCTGCAATCTGGCCTGACCCACCATGGATGATGACCGGTACACATCCTGCAATCTGGCCTCACTGGCCTGACCCACCATGGATGATGACCTGTACACATCCTGCAATCTGGCCTCCCTGGCCTGACCCACCATGGATGATGACCGGTACACATCCTGCAATCTGGCCTCACTGCGGGCTGCCACTGGGCTCAAGGTTTTAGCTGCTGCTACTACTGCCCGGACTTCAGTACTAACACTGCTCTGTACATCAGGCTACTGTTACAGCAGATGTTCAGTCGACCCACTTTATATAGAGACTAGTTCACCGAGTTTTAATTGTTTGAATATCATAATATACGTGTTTTTGAATAACCGGTCAGAGTGGATAACACGGTCAAGTATACAGTAACTTTTGATTTAAAGCTTTCGTGACTGCAGTAATTCATATTCTTAGTTTTTTCGGTAAAGTCACGTTGAAGAGAAACAACAAAACAATAAAATATATAAAACAATAAAAAATTCGCACGACGTTTCGACCATAACTCAAACGGTCATCTTCAGGTGTGTTGGTTTGCATAAATGTATTTTTAAACGGCGCATTTATTTATTTATAAAAAAACGTTAGCGCCACGCGCAGCGATTTGGCAGTTTACCCAGGACTAGTCCATCTATATTCTGAAAAGAGGAGGGGGAAAACGAAATGTTTTATAATGTATGCTGTCTGAAAGCCACTGTAAGCGTGAACAATCAATTAAGAACTGAAATGGTTTATCAAATCTTTCCAATGATTGCTAAGATAGAATCCATTTGGCAGTTTTGGCAAACTGCCAAATCGCTGCGCGTGGCGCTAACGTTTTTATAAATAAATAAATGCGCCGTTTAAAAATAAATTTATGCAAACCAACACACCTGAAGATGACCGTTTGAGTTATGGTCGAAACGTCGTGAGAATTTTTGTATTGTTTTATATATATTTTATTGTTTTGTTGTTTCTCTTCAACGTGACTTTACCGAAAAAACTAAGAATATACAGTAACTGTTTGTACAAAGCTGCGTGTAAAGTTCGGCCGGCGTTTGAACCTAGCGGACACTTAGACAAACTTTTTTTTAAAGATACGCAACTTCATTATTTAATGCAGTCGGCGGTGAACTATCTGTTTGCTTCAACACGTTAATATGATTAATCCTTGATCGTTTCTGCGTGGATTAAATATTGGTCGTTCTATAGGATTTGGTGGGGTGGTTGGTCAGGCGTACGTACGCAGGTGGGGGCTAGAAGTGTAAAAAGTCCTCGTGCGTAAAGAGATGCGTGGAGGAGGGGTCAAATCTTGACAGATTTTTTTTTGCGTACCTACTAAATGGATGCCCCCATACCAGACAGATTTGCCGCACTATGATCAGACTTGCCATTACCCCCACCCTCTCCCCAAGTATGAATTTAGCACGGTACAGTAATGCAAAGCTTTATGCACCGTTCCAAAAATACACAATAGGGCAAACTCCAGAACATCACATCTATGTGGTTGCATTTGAGAGCTAAAACGAGAGGTAAGCTCCACAAACACGCCTAGGGAGGGGGCTATCCTTTGAAGCCAATGCTTTGTTCCCAGGCTAAGAGTGTAATAATGGTATGTACTGTATCCCATTGATCAGATTTGGCTCCGTGCACCACGGAAAGAGCATGTCTGAATGTGTTTTTTTTAATAAAGCAGGGCAGCACAAGCTAACACCTCCGACTAGCACGGTTGGCTACGTATGGTGCGAGAATAAGTTCTACATCTATGAGCTGGTGAAAACTTGACACATATATCTCTTACGTTATCATCTCCCTTCCATATTTATGTGGAATGTCTCTGTTCATTAGTTTATCATGACATGACGCTCTAATGATTGTGATGACTTTCACCACCCCCTCCCCTAATCTTCCTTCTCTACTTTTGTTTACAAAGTGGGGAACCTTTTTTTTGCCAGTATCAAAGTATTCCCCGCAAAAAAAGTTTATATTTGGTGTTTGCCCATCTTAACACCTCTTTAATTACCAGAAAGGGTAAAACCTATTCTTATTTTTTTCATACTTGTTTAATTCAATAAAATGTAAACTAAAGTAGACAAACGTCTCAATTAAAGCCCCAATTTCGAGGAATTACAGTCCTCCAAAGCAGAGCACTTCTGCAATTTCTGACACCCAGGTAAGGGTCGTCTCGCTTAAGTGCAGTATTGGATAACATTTAAGTATTCGTCTTATTGTACAGTACTTTAATTAAAGCATTGTTTTTTTAAATGCCTGCTTTGAACACGCCACTGTGAGTCTATAGTTGTCACCCTGCAAGAGGTTTGACGTTTTAACACAAATCAACTTAAGAGATTCATAATACTGGGGTTTTTTTGGGGGTTAGAACGCGAAAATATAAATGTGTCGTTAAACCTGCTACCACCCGACACAGCCAATCAGTAAGGTTTGTCACGTAAAACGTGCCAATTCGTTACTAGTACAGCACACACACGGTGTGTTGGGAGAGTAAATACACATTTACAAGCAGAGTACGACGTTTCGCCACTAATTACAACCAGCTTCATCAGGCGACAGCAGATTGATCCGAACAGACTGTAGGGGCAAGTGCTGTTAGCGAGTAGCAACCTATGAAGGCCGGCTCAGCACACGAGGGGGTGTAGGTGACCAACACTACTCCCGGCCGCCTTCGTCTCCCCAGTGGCGATGTTTACACACCGCAACCAGTTACTCATTTGAGGCCGAGTCGACCTTGGGGTTGAGGTCCAGGACCGGTTCAGATAATCGTCATCGGCGTTGACCCATCCGCACACACACACACACCCAGCCCCGTAAATATCGTGTACATGTTAATCTATTTATAAACGCCCCCGCGACTAAAACGTTCGGTTAAAAATCACCGATTTAAACGTTACAACAAATATTAAAAACGCGCACATTTCAGAGCGAACCGCGACTCACGCTAATTGAACCAGACGCGTTAAACGAGAAACGTGTTACACGCAACAAAATGTTGTCCTCCCTCTGCCAAAGGACACGGGCGAGAAGCGCCACCGTCAATGTTAACGATTCACTGGGTCTCTCCTCTCTATCACTCCTCTCGCCTACTCACGCCAGCGCCGTCAAACATCATCTAGGCACAGGTAACTCACGGGGTGCGGGTGGCGGCCGCCTCCTTCGCCTTCACGTTATTGTAGGGATGATGATGATGATGACGACGGTGGTGGTGGTCACACAGTCTTCCGTGCAAAAACCTCCTTGGTTTACATCCCCCTACCCCCCTCCAAGCGGCGAGGGGGAGCTCTTTAAGTAGCAAATGCGTCGGTTTATTGCTCCCGCCCACTTGCAACAGCACCACACCTCCCCGGCACGAAGTGACAGAAGGCGAGACGGAAATCCCCTTTCCTCTTGGCCTATGGCAGCGATGGGTGGAGCAAAGTGCCAACAACGAGCGCCGGTGGGGAGCTGCCGATTCCACCGGGAAGACGAGCAAACAACAACAAAGGCAACAAAGACCCCTAAAATAGTTCAGTTCATTTGTTAGGTTACTAGCTGTTCTACCCGGCTTCGCCCAGGGCTGGGATCCACCACGCGCGGCCGCCTTTGTCTCCCCAGTGGCGATGTTCACACACCACAGCAGTTACTCGTTTGAGGCTGAGTCGACCTAGGAGATGCCCAGGACCGGTTGAAATAATCCCCGGGTTCGTAGCGCAGCGCGTTAACCGCTACACTACAATGCGTTAGGCTTGCACACGCACACTGACACACACACAGACACAAAGATCAAAGATCCCCCGTATAGCCTTAACAGACTGTAGGGGCAAGTGCTGTTAGCGAGCACCTATGAAGGCCGGATCGGTACATGAGGGGGTGGGTGGCCAGCACCACGCCAGACCGCCTTTGTCTCCCTAGTGGCAATGTGTATGCACCGCACCAGGTACTCATTTGAGGCTGAGTCGACACACAGACACACACAGACAGACACACACAGACAGACACACACAGACACACAAACACAGACACACACAGACACGCACACACAGACAGACATACACACAGACACACACACAGCGCGCTAACCACTACACTACAATGCGTTACGCTTCCACACAGACACACACACAGACACACACACAGCACGCTAACCACTACACTACAATGCGTTACGCTTCCACGTGCGCGGGCCACGTGACAGATTTGACGTCACAGCTCACTTGCCGTGCAATAAAAATAAATACATTGTTGAGCCCCCCCCCCCCCCCGCAAAAAAAGTGTCATTTAATAATGTTTGCATGGTGTGCAGTCTGGAAAGTACCCACATGGCAAATTTCAAGTTTGTTGCATGTCGGGAAGTACGCTAAACATTTTGAACAGACACACACAATCACAACTTTGCCTTTTATATATATGGAGAGGAGATGTATATGGAGATGGGAGATAGCCCCTTTGAGCCATTCGGCTCTTGAATCGGGTGCAACCGAAACAAACAAAAACATGAACAAGAAAAACATCTTAAAGTGACTACGCGCGACAGAACAATCCAGGAAAAAAACAGCAGAGTCTTGCAGAAAAAGTAACCGCGTATCAACGCTGTGTGCAAAAAAAAACCCAGTGGGATGCGAGTCAAACAATAACAACCATAAGACAATTGAGATTAAGGTTATCAGTCTTAACTCTGTACAACAACAAACAAATATGGCTAATCCAAAACGTTTTCTAAATCACCAAAAGAAAAGCTATAAAAACAACAATTGTTGGGGGGGGGGGGTGGTGGATGGCAAGTTTGCCATGAGCAAGGAGCAAATCCTATGAAGGCCGGCACGGCGCACGAGGGGTTGGTGGGTGGCCAGCACCACGCCCGGCCGTATTTGTCTCCCCCAGCGGCCAACAAGGTACTCGTTTGAGGCTGAGTAGACCTTAGGGGGGGGGGGGGGTTCAGATATGGTCGGGATCGTAGCGCGGCGCGCTGACCGCCACTAACACTGCCGCCGACAAACAGCAACATCGTCGTCATTCATAAACAATACAAACACTGGCCATTGTTCTATTCTCTAATTCTAGCGTACGGCAGCAATATGTTCAAGAGCTAAGTGCCCTCTTGTTCTTCTGTTGAAGGATCCCCAGACTACTACAGTGCTTTACGATATGGTCCACAGTGTGGGTTAGGAGCGTGGTCACCATCGCACGCCTGTGCCTTTCTTTCCCTTAACGGGTCTCTATGGGTCTCTGAATGTCTACAGTCTCGGTCTCTGTGAGTGTGTCTCTCTCTATGGGTTTAGTATATGGGGAGCGGTAGTGTGGTCCTTCGAACGCTGCGCTACGAACCCGGTGACCCGAGTTCGAGTCACCCTCACGGTCAACACCAGTGACGATTATCTGAACCGGTCATGGGCCTCCCTTAGGTCTACTCGGCCTCAAATGAGTATCTGGTGCGGTGTGGTACATGTGGCCACTGGGGAGACAAAGGCGGCCGGGCGTGGCGCTGGCCACCCTCCCCCTCGTGTGCCGTGCCGGCCTTCATTGGTGCTCGCTAACAGCACTTGCCCCAACAGTCTGTTAAGGCTACACGGGGAATATTTGTCTTTGTTTTTTTAATGGTCCACAATTTTGGCTGCATGTCAGAATCGCCCTACTATGGCCTGACTGTAATATATCTCGATGGGTCTCTATGTATCTTTACGAGTATCTATGGTTTAAAGCTTACGTGACTGCAGTAATTCATATTCTTAGTTTTTTCGGTAAAGTCACGTTGAAGAGAAACAACAAAATAACAATATATATAAAACAATAAAAAATTCTCACGACGTTTCGACCATAACTCAAACGGTCATCATCAGGTGTGTTGGTTTGCATAAATTTATTTTTAAACGGCACATTTATTTAAAAAAAAACGTTGGCGTCACGCGCAGCGATTGGCAGTTTGCCCAGGACTAGTCCATCTATTTTTTTTTTAAAAGAGGAGGGGGGAGACGAAATTTTTTATAATGTATGCTGTCTGAAAGCCACTGTAAGCGTGAACAATCAATCAAGAACTGAAATGATTTATCAAATCTTTCCAATGATTGCTAAAAAACAAACTGAGGGCACCCCAATGGGCTCCCCCCTTTCTCCAGTTATAGCTAACATTTTCATGGAGAAATTTGAGACTGACGCCATCCAGACTGCCACTCTGCGCCCAACCTTATGGAAGAGGTACGTGGATGACACTTTTGTCATCTGGCCACATGGCCGGCCTGCTCTAGACCAATTCTTCGACCACATCAATTCCATACACCCAGCCATCAGATTTACCATGGAAGTCGAAATAGATGGCAAGATACCTTTTTTGGATGTCCTAATTAAAAAGAGACCTGATGGTTCAATGAGCCACTCTGTCTACAGGAAAGCTACCCATACGGATGCTTATCTGAAACCGGATTCCCACCACCATCCATCACAGAAGAATTCTCTCATCAAGACTCTGTATCATAGAGCCCAATGCATATCCGACCAGGAACACATAAGCAGTGAACTCAAGCACGTACACCAAGCTCTTAGGGCTAATGGTTACTCCGACTATACAATCCGCAAAGCTATCACTCAAACCATGAAGAAGAACCCTCTTGAGGAGCCTTTCAAAACCATCACTTTACCCTACATTGCTGGGATCACAAAAAAGATCTCCAAAATCTTGAATAAACACAAGATCCAGGTCCGTTTCAACACATTACATAAAATCCGTGATCTGGTTCCGTCTGTAAAAGATGTGATTCCGGACATACAATACCCTGGTGTCTACAAACTAAGTTGCCTCTGTGGTAGTAGTTACATTGGAGAAACCAAACGCCATATCTCGGACCGCATTCGTGAACATAAAGCAGACCTTAAACACGGTAGGACCAACACCTCGGCCGTAGCAGATCATTGTTCTAATTCAGTAGGCTCACATGCCATTGACTTTTCCAAGACGGAGGTTCTTTGTAAGCCATCTGGCTTCCATGAGAGATTCGTTCATGAGGCTATCCACATATACAAGCACAGAGACAATTTCAACCGAGAAGATGGATTCTATCTTAGCAATCATTGGAAAGATTTGATAAATCATTTCAGTTCTTGATTGATTGTTCACGCTTACAGTGGCTTTCAGACAGCATACATTATAAAACATTTCGTCTCCCCCCTCCTCTTTAAAAAAAAATAGATGGACTAGTCCTGGGCAAACTGCCAATCGCTGCGCGTGACGCCAACGTTTTTTTTTATAAATAAATGTGCCGTTTAAAAATAAATTTATGCAAACCAACACACCTGATGATGACCGTTTGAGTTATGGTCGAAACGTCGTGATAATTTTTTATTGTTTTATAAATATTGTTATTTTGTTGTTTCTCTTCAACGTGACTTTACCGAAAAAACTAAGAATATGAGTATCTATGGGTTTACTATCTTGGTAGGTGACCCATCGTTTGGGTTGCATGGCAGCAATCTCACTGCTGTGGCTTTTTTTTGTATTTTGCATTCGTGAAAGATCAGGCAATATCTGATGGTACACCCCTGTCTTCGAGGAATGTTTGACCATTGTTTAGGCAGGTTCATGGGTCCTGTTTTAAAAATCAAAGACAGCCCCTGGTGAGTGCGTTTGGTTGTTTGGTCAATTCCACGAATTGTGTTAGAATTTGTGGGGAAACCCGGATCTCGGTTGTAAATTAAAGCCCCACACGTCTGGACAAAATAACTAACATATCTTGAATTTTGATTTAAATCTTTCATATTCTTGGTTCTTTCGGTACAGTCACGTAGAGTAATTCCTGCAGTCACGAAAGCGCCAAATCAAGTTTGAACTAACATACAATTTATAAATTGGTTTGGTGGATGATTATAACTGGGTAATTAATTATTGTAAGCAACTACCATGCTGTACAGGGTGGTCCAGATGTCTTGTGACCCACATTTAATTCCCTGTTTATTTAAACAAAAATGAACATGCACAATAAAAGTTTGGAGTCAATTCAAACTATGAACTATACTACAGTACTTTATTTTTTTTACCAGGTAAGGCCCACTGAGCTCTTTTTCAGAAGTGACTTGGCCGTAAATGTTAGCTCAACGAAGTTGCTTATCGAGTGAAAATGTATAGCAGCCAAATACTCAAACCGCATGTTTTTAAAACGAGGCGGAAAAAACCAGAGGACCCGGAGAAAAATCCACGCAACCACGGGGAGAACAAACAAACTCCAAAATATACAGCAGCAGGTGTCAGGGTTGGGATCTAACCCACGACCTCCTGTATACCAGGCAAGGTAGTTAACATCTCGCTATCGTGGAACCGTGAGCTTTGATCCGCGGCCTCGGCGAGCATCAGTGGGGAATGCTACTTGAACCCGTCCTGCCTTTCCTCTCCCCCAAATGACACTCACCAGCGTGGTGAAGTATGATCGAGCAACTCAGATACGGCGTAGGGAGGCATTCATCCAGCAGTGGATTTGCAAAGGGCTATATTGTATATTAAGTACGGTTGCAATTACGCAACCCTGCTATGAATTTGTAAACATCGTATTAAAAGATTTACCTGCGCCATCGGAGTTATTATTGCACAGTATAATGGAAAGTACCATACGCTACTTATAAGACGCTCTCGAATGACCAACCCAACATTCGTGGCCCGTGTTTATAAACTTTTCACACATCAGGCAAAGATCCCCCCTATAGATTTAACAGACTTTTGGGAAAAGTTGTGTGAGTGATCACCTATGAAGGCCGGCACTGCACGCTAGAGGGTGGGTGGCCAGCACCGCGCCCGACCGCCTTTGTCTTCCCAGTGGCGATGTTTATACATTTGAGGATGAGTCGACCTTGGGGAGGCCCAGGACCGGTTCAAGATAATCATTACCGGTGTTGGCCGTGAGCGGGTTCATAGTGCAACGCGCTAACCACTGCACTACAACTCCAGACAATAATACGCTAACCCAACCATTGCTTTAAAATACAGGGGACACACAAGTGTATCTTTCAATCTGGAGAAAACGGCTGAACCAAAAGGGGTAGGTGGTTTCCAGATATTCCATGCATCACAAGCACACGGTACAATATAAATTGCAGCAATACAGAATGCGCATGCAGTAAAAAGAAAATCCCCTTACGTCTGTTTACCCTTGACACCTTTGGTGCATCCCCTGTCACTTTTTTGGTTTGTATTAAACCATAAAACCAGTGTTGTTCATTGTGAACTGAAATGGAGCTGAATTGGGGTTATTGTACATCAATAAAGATAAACGAGAGTAAGGATTAGTAGGGATCTTCTTTCTTCAATAAACATCATTCACCACGTGTATGGGAATAAAATGCATTACCATTGCTTGTTGCTTTATTTTTACGTAACATTTCAACGTCATGCACCTACAGAATGGTTATAAAAATAACTCACCCCCTAAACTCCCAATAAGTGATAGGACAGTTGTGGAGTGAGTAGAAATTTCCATAACTGGACAGTTCCAATTTAGGAGCAGATGTATTACTCAGAATTAGTAGAGTGGTACTATATTTTCATTTGCTGCATAACGCTGTGTGGAAGCTACCTAGTCTGTCACTCCATTCGAAGCTCCAGGTCTTCTCGACCAGTTATGCCCTCCCTTCTCTCTGCTTGCAAACTCTGCACCCTCTGAAAGAACATCTCTACCGGTTTGAAACATTCAGGATGGCCTGCCTACAATCCGTCATGGGCTTAACCAGGCTGGCTTGTGTGAGGTCACAGATTCTTGAAAGATCTTGACACAGTCTCATCGGAGAGCTCCTTCGGCAGACAACGCTGCGTTTGGTGGGTCATGTAGCCCCCAAGCACAACTACCCCATGCCGAAACAGATTATGTTTTGCCGGATAGAGGGGGCTAAACGTGCGTGGCACGGGCAAGAGAAGAGATCAGCTGATGTGGTGCAGGAGGATGTGGAGCTGAGTGGACTTGCCGATGACTGGTACCAGCAATGTCAAGATTGGCCTCTATGGGGGAGGGCAGAGGGAACGACGCTGACAACGAGAGGCGCACCGGGCGGATACAACACGGCAAGTTGGCACACAGTCAACCGATGGCATCTGGGTCTCTTCCCGTGATCTCCTGCCAGCGTGCCTTCGACACTTCACGTGACTTTAAAGTGCACCTAGCCTGGCATAGGCGCTGTTGTGACGTCACCGCCACTTCGTGGTGAATGTCGACTGTTGTGTTTGTGATAGTTGCCGTGTGTCAGTGTGCGTGTCTGTGTTTGTGTGGGGAGCGGTGGCGCAGTGGTTAGCGCGCTGTGCCACGAACCCGGCGACCAGAGTTTGATACCCGCTCACAGCCAACACCGGTGACGATTATATCTGAACCGGTCCTGGGCCTCCCCTAGGTCGACTCAGCCTCAAATGAATACCTTGTCACTTTCAGATATTTTCTTGTTCATGTTTTTTTGTTCGTTGCGGTTGCACCCGATTCAAGAGCCGAATGGCTCACAGGGCCATACCAAATACATTAAACTGAAACCTGGTGCGGTGTGTAAACATCGCCACTGGGGAGACAAAGGCGGTCGGGCGTGGTGCTGGCCACCCACACCCCCTCCTCATGTGCCGTTCCGGCCTTAACAGGTGCTCGCTAACAGCACTTGCCCCAGTAGTCTGTTAAATGCTATACGGGGGATCTTTGTCTTCTGTTTGTGAGTGCGCGGGTGTGGACGTGAACAATTTCGCACCGAAGACTGCTCCGTATGCACGTGACTGTCTGTATGTTGAACTTCTTTCGCGCCGTACGTAGCCAACCCTGCCATCTCACGGAGATGTAAACCCCACGTTATACGATTGATTACAAGAACATCTGATGCTCGTAACATCCGTGGCACTACGGTATTCTAACCGCAACATGGCATACACAGCCTTCTGTCAAACCTCGCTCCAAGCCATTTAAAGAAATCCGTCAGCCGTTCCGGTATTGGCGCCTTTGGTTGTCTAATATACAGGGTGCTTCAAAAAAATGTTAACACTTTCACGGGACTATCGCATTTTATGCAAAATGAAACGAATAATAAAATGTAACATAACAAATGTATGTTGATATCATAAGACCTCCTTTGCCAGTACCAAAATGTAATAATAGGGTTTTTCCCCTTTTTTTCTGGCCACAAAACTGAATCCTTTTGGTGTGGACCAATCAGTTTCAAGGACAATGCATCACATATTATCATAGTATGTTTTTTTGTTGGCATTTTGACTGCAGGTATTGTGGTTAATGCAGACGTGAATCCTCGTAAAAAAGGTTTCAGTTTTGTTGCCGGAAAAAAAAGGAAAAACCCCCTATTATTATTATATTGTATGTTGATAGCTTCAAAAAGTCAAAGGGCCTCCACTTGTTCGCCATCAATAATCAACACGTTGCCTGGAATCTTCTTAAGGTGGTCTCCACAAGCCTCGAGGCAGCATATTTCCCGTGGCATTGTTGCACAATTCTCAGAAGTGTTAACACTTTGTTTAAGCACCCTAACAGGTCCCTGCAGGGTGGGCTGGTAGGAACATTGCAATTGTGCGCAATTTTATGACATTGTTACGTAAAATTGTGCAAATTGAGAGCGTCTTCCCACCTTTTTGCCCTCAAAATCGTTGAGGGTTCTTCGGACAAATTGTACACCCAACAACACGAGATTTCACTTCGTTAAAGTATTGAAAGGGGACGGACGGACACATTAATCTATTGCAGGCTAAGTACACTGAGTTTACAACTTCGTTCCTACCAGTATAATTTACTCTGTGATCACATCACCAGCAATGTCAGTATTTTTTCCAGATGACGCACTTTTTACAAAAAAGGCACACATTTTAAAAACTCACACCACTTCTGGTCGGCCCGCGTAGCTGGGTGGACAGGGCGGATGGATGTAATTAACTTGCTAAAACAAATAAGGAAGATTACAGACGGCAGGCATCTATACAAGTATTATTTAAAATGAATACTGCATTTAATTAACAACACAATAAACAATACTTTTATTTCTAACTACGTGACTTTACCGAAAGAACCAAATAGTATGGATTACTGCAGTCACGAAAGCATCAAATCAAGATTAATACTTACAGAGTATGAGTTCCTTATAGATTATTATATCGATTCCATTTAAACAGTCACGCGAATCGATATCTGAATCGAAACAATATTGTAGGCGCGTGGCACACGTACAATGTTTATACATTTATGAGCTGTAAACTGCAATATAGTGATGTATAAATGAAAAAAAATCAAATCAGAATTGATTTTAAAAAAATTATCAGCTTAGAGCAAACTACGGTAAGCGTACGGCATTTAATCGAGGAATCGATGCACAGCTGATGGCCCTCGGAAGTGAAAGTATTCGTTACGTAACCATTGAATCCGGAAGAAGAAGAGTGGACTGAACCAACTACGCAACAGTTTTGAAATTTAACTTTAGATACAAAATTCGTCATTATAGCAAATTAAATACATATTTTTTTGGTGATTAAATAGTTTATCTCTTGCTCGATATATAGTCGTGTGCCAATTCGAAAACTGTGCATCAGGAAATATTTTAGTTTAAATGCAATTCTCATCAGTCGCGGAAGCCACACGACGTCTTATACATTCTGATTCTTCCTTGGTTCGAGAACCAAAGTGTAATTCTGATGCTTATTAACCAACAAAAGTTGCTTCAATAATCCACACCCCCCTCTCCCGTTTATTGGACTCGTCCGGTGTGGGGGTCAGGGGTCAGGCGCGTTTAACCACTTTCGCGCCAAATCTCTCCCCCCCGACGCAGTCGCCTCACACCTCGCCGATCAAACTCTCGTCGCACGCGGCCCGCGTTCATTTGTCAAGCGATCGAGTACAAGTTGGAGAAAGGGATATCGCGATGGGGTTCCTGGAGGAGTGCGAGGCGGTGCTGGGAAGCCGCGACCTCTACGCGCTCCTCGGGGTACCGCGCGGCGCCTCCGAGGGCGACGTGAGGCGCGGCTATCGCAGGAAGGCCCTCGACACCCACCCCGATCGCGCCGGGTCCGGGGCCACGCGCGCCTTCCAGGCAGGCCCATCGCATTGCACACATATGTATCAAAGATCCCCCGTATAGTCTTAGACTGTAGGGGCAAGTGCTGTTAGCGAGCACCTATGAAGGCCGGAACGTCATCACGAGGGGGTGGGTGGCCAGCACCACGCCCGACCGCCTTTGTCTCCCTAGTAGCGATGTTTACGCACCGCACCAGGTACTCATTTGAGGCTGAGTCGACCTAGGGGAGGCCCGGGACCAGTTCAGATAATCGTCACTGGTGGTGGCCGTGAGCGGGAATCGAACCCGGGTCGCCAGGTTCATAGCGCAGCGTAGCGCTAACCGCTACACCACCGCTCCCCACGAACACATGTATACACACACGTCTGTAATATTGTGGCGGTTCTTATGCTATATACAGGGGAAAAACACGGCGAGCGGTGAGATACGTGGCAGGGTTGTAACGAATGCTCAGAGACACTGCGCCCGAGTGTTGGGGCCGCACTCGCCTTTCAAGGCAGGCCCATCGTATTATATATACAGTAGTTGTAACGAAACGTAATACTAATACGACGGTTATAACGCTATATGCATGGGAAACTCGGTTAGCAAGAGACACGTGGCAGGGTTATAATGCTTTCTCGGACACTGCGCCCGAGGTTAGGTGCTACATACACCTTCTATGCCCATAGTATTATTATATACAGCCGTTATAACGAGATTTAATATTATGACGGTTATAATGTTATACACATGGAAAACACGGGTGCTGGGGCCACAGAGGCCGAAAATGTTGTAATCACAATTATAACGATGTTCCATACGGTTATAATGATGTGTCATAGTCAAATGTAATGATACAGATAACGAAACGGTTAGAATGACCCGTAATTATCACCTGGGTTGGGATCACACGGGCTTTCCAAGTTGATACTATACTATGATCGAGTTATAATTCCATTTACTATCAGAACATATTACACTCGTAACATCTCTGGTACTTCTTCTTTGGTTCTTTCGGTAAAGTCACGTAGAATGAGAATAAAATAATAAAATAAGACAATAAAATTATCACGACGTTTCGGCCACAACACAAGTAGCCTTCTTCAGGTGAAAGAACAGAACTGTCTGAAGAAGGCTACTTGTGTTGTGGCCGAAACGTGAGAATTTTATTGTCTTATTTTATTATTTTCTCATTCTACGTGACTTTACCGAAAGAACCAAAGAAGATGAATCCTTGCAGTCAAGAAAGCTTTAAATCGAAAAAAAATCTCTGGTACTATTGTAAGGACACAGGTCATACACAGCCTCCTATCAAGCCCCTCTGCTCGATGAATGCCGTGTCAGTTATGTTTGGCCATACTTCACACTGGTCAGTACGGATTGGTTAGGGTGAAGGTAGGGGGGAGTGTCCTGGATCGGTTCAAATAATCGCCACTGATGTTAGCCAGCGGCTGGGAACCAAACTCTTGGTAGCTGGGTTCATAGTGCGTTTGCGCCAAACACTGCGCCACCACTGTATAGATATGGTTGCCAACATCCAGCCTCTAACATAATTCTTTATTGTTGTTGTGTTATTATTGTTGTGGTGGTGGTAACAGCTGCTGGGCAAGGCATACACACTGCTCAAGGACAAAGACACCCGCGCCGCATACGACGAGCATGGCACCGTGGACGAGGAGTCGGACGTGCTGAGCCAGGACTGCGACTGGGAGCAGTACTTCCGCATGCTTTTCAAGAAGGTGACACGCCGCTTATCTGGTCATCCTCGCAGCAGCGGCTTTTGACTAGCCATCAAACAAAGACAGTCACTGCTTCGTGCACTTTCAGATGCTCTTCTGCAGCCGTCTGGAACGCTCTTCTGTCTGATATTGGGAAGCCACTGGAGCTATGCACTTTTAAATGTGCTTTGAAAACTCATTTCTTTAGAACTGCTTTTTGTGTTTAGTTTGAAGTCCTGCACCTCCAATTAGCATGGTTGGCTACGTATGGTGCGAAAGAAGTTCAACATACATATACACACAGGTGTCACTGGAAACATGTCTCATCCTCCCCAGACGCACAGGGACGCAGACAGCCAGCAACCGCACGTGGGTATCAGCTTGGCAGAAACCTGTGAATCAACATACATATTTGCCAACAGAAAAAGGCCGAGGAGCAGTTTCTTAGCTCAAGTTTTTTCTTTCCTATCCAGTCTTGCGCCTCCCTTTTCATTTAGCTCTCCATTCTTCAAGTTTTCAAGCCGTTTTTCTTTCTACATCTTTGGCTTAATTTTCTTAACATACCCCTTTATCGATAGAGCTTTCTCCAGCAAGCCTTCAACTTTGACAAATGCTCAATCCAGATGTTTTTTTAAAGAGCCCTCGGTAAAGTGACTTCAGCATTCCTTAGCACTTTGGCCTCATCTTTCAAGTATATTCTGACACAGCAGTGCACTGCTAGTCGTGAGAATTATGAATGGAAATGTGTTCATATCATTACAACATCAATAGGACTATTGGTATGATCTTAGACTTTGGTCCTTCCCGTGCTGTTCAGCACATCTGGCAACGCAGTTTTTCTGGTGTTCATTCAGCTGAGCCACATCACCCAATGTTATTCCAATGACCTTTAAATCTTTGTCCATCATGCCTCTCCAATTCTTTTTTGGCCTTCCTATTTTCCATGCTCCTTTCTATATATTCCAGTTCACAGTCTGCCTTGCAATGTGGTCTCATCCATATGACACAGATGGTTTAACCATCTTAATCATCTCCAGGGGGTTCTCATGATGTCCTCCATCTCTGAAAATAAAAATTGAAATTCTGAAAGAAAAAAAACATTCAAAGAGACTATAATCTTGCAGTCCCGTCTGTTGCTTGGCAGATCACAGTGGAGGACGTGCGGAAGTTTGAGAAGACTTACAAGGAGTCGGAGGAGGAGCTGGCGGACCTGAAGCAGGCGTACGTGAGCTGCGAGGGCGACATGGACGGCATCCTGGAGACGGTGCTGTGCGCCGCCATCGAGGATGAGCCACGCTTCCGCGCCACGCTGCAGGCGGCCGTCGACGCACAGGAGCTACCCGACTTCCCCGCGTTCAGCCAGGAGAGCAAGCAGAAGCGGCAGAAGCGCCGACGCAAGGTGCACGCTTCCTCACATCGCCGCGGGTCGCAGTGCTAAGTGCATGAGAGCCGATGTTGCCGAGAACAGGGGTCACACAACTTGTACATTTGGCTCACTGAAGTGGTCACTTTCACGCAACTTGTGGGTGTGTGTATATAATAGAGATTCATATTCTTGTTTCCCTTCTACGTGACTTTACCAAAAGAACCAAGAATATGAATCCCTGCAGTCGCGAAAGCTTTAAATCAAAATATAATAGGGATGTAAAGATGAATTAAAATATGAATTTTTTTCGTAATTATTTTCCTGAACTTGTATCGCGATTGTGACATGAGTTGAAGAATCCATTCAGATCTCTCACTGAGCGGTGCAAAGCTTCATGTCAGAATGAAAGAGGATATGAATCGATTGGCGGTAGCCCGGGTCACTGCAAAATATTGGTGGGCCGGGCATAGTTTAAGGTTTTTTTTCTGGGAGCATCGCTGGTACTACCCTGTCCTGCCGGAGGGCGACGCTGGGAGCGATGATGACGACGATGATGTCGATCCCGCCAGCACGACCATGACCGCCGGCCGTACCAAGAGAGCACCTGGTGCGCCATTGCCTCCAAGTGGTCTCGCTCCCAAAGACAAGGAGGGTGGTCGCCCCCGTAAGAAGCAGAACGTGCTGGGGAAATGACCAGACCAGCATCCTGATGTACTTTCAAAACAAGCAATAAACAGCCATTGCCACGCACAAATCCCCAGCAGCCCCCCTTTTTATGGGTGTTTTGCGTGTTTTTTATTTCCATATTTGGCGTGCGTATCGGGCTCAGTGACATCTCCCGTCTTCATAGGCCTTCTGGTTTCGGAGTTATGGAGGTTTTTGCACCCCCGGGTCACCGCCAATCGATTCATATCGCAGAGCTACCTCTGAGATTCAGTCAAGTGACCTCTGATCCACACAGATGGGGCAGCACTTTCCCACCCATCCTCGTCATCGCTTGATTGTTCATTCAATATATTTTAATCTTATAGCTGAAATGTTTCTAGATTAAGTGCAGAACCAAATTTAATGTGATTATATTTTGTGCAGTCGTTGGTGACTGGAATTAAACCATCAATTCACTACACATGAGCACATGGTTTAATCACAGGGGGCTGCCTGGATTCAAACTCAGCATTTCAATTGTGCTAGCTCAGTGGTCTGATTTCTGATCTATCCACTAACCATGATTTTAAACGTTCTAATTATCATTTCATCATGCATGTCAGAAATATTTTTTTATCCAGTATGCTCACATGACATAAATTATGTGTCACAAGGGCAAAATAAAAAGCATTTCAGATCCTGAATGGTGACTGTTAATTGAATTGTGGGAGGGGTAAATTTGCACCACAATGGCATGTGCCAACTTGCAAGCAACTCATGGCCATGTATATACATGTGGTGCAGCTCACTGACCCAGTTTAATGTCATGCTTAAAAAACAGCTTTTAAAAATGCGGAACATCAGCATTTCTTCACAGTGGCAGCTAACAAGCAAAGTTGGTGAAAGTGCCATGCAGATACAAAGATTTTGCATTCTCTCATTGGGTTTTTCCATGGTAGTGTTGCCTCATCATGATGTAGTAATCCTTATATTGTGCATAAAACGAACTAAACGTTGGCCTTTGCAGTACACAGCCGAAGCGAAGGAAGCGGAGGCTCACGCCAAGGAACTTGGGCTTGATGGATCCGATGACACTCTTCAAGCACTCATCCTGGTGAGGAGTAGAGCATTCTCTACACGAGCCTGTGGCCTGCAAACACACGAGTGCTTGTCTAATTGCACAAAATGACCTTCCTGAAGTGTTAATTGTGTGAGCGCCCGTGTGGCAGGTTGTTGAGTTATTTATGATGGTACTATAATACATGCAGAGCCCTGTGAAGGCCTCCCAATGTCATGTGGGCCGAGGGGATTATTTTACAATAATTCACCATGCTGGTCAGTACGGGTTTGTGATTGCAGGGAGCATAGGTGTATCCAACGATAGGACACTTATTTTAAAGACTCAATTGGCATACAATAATTGCATTCCCATTTGGGTAGATCCATTAGGAGGGGTGTAACACTACACGAGCTCCACGATTGTTCATTGGATTCCAGTTTTGAATGCATTTTTTAAGTCGCATTCATTTCACATTGTCCCTTACTTACCACACTGTCTCTTATTTCAATAATTGTAGCTGTTTGTGAAAGTCAGTTCTCTCGTAACTGCCATAGACAGAATTACATTACTCAAATTACCTTTGAAGATTGTCTCCATTGATGTACGCGCATGTGTTTTAACAGAAACGTCAAGAAAACAATAAGAATAAGATGGACTCGTTTCTGGCTGATCTGGAATCTAAATACTGCAAGAAAGGGAAGAATGCAGGCCCTGCGACGAAGAAAGGCAAAGGGAAGAAGTGAATGCATGATTTCACAAATTCGGCATCGACACAGCTGACATTACGTTTGCTGCACCAAGCAAGACGTCAGTGTTACGATGAGTTTGCTGTAGCTGAGCAAGTAGGAAAACTAGTGGCTGGGGTGAAGCCAGTGGTTTTGAAATGTGGGGACGGTAGAGTTTGAAATTCTATCGCCATGTGGTTAAATAATTAAAATACACAATGTGCAGGTTCGCACTCGTGCTTATTGTTTTGGTGTATATGAATACTTACTCTGTTACGCGTGTATTTAGATGCTATGGAGAGGGGAAGAAATGGATGTGTAAAATAAATTTGATTAAATGATACTGAAAATGTGCTCCCAAGGCACTTACAACGATAAATGGATTTGTCCCTTGTTGATGTCATTGTGAACTCGATGTACCAGCACCTCTGCAAGCAGTTTCGTTTCTGTGCAGCACGTGAGGAGGGTAGAGCGATTACAGATACAGCGTGACTTTCTAAAGTGAAGGGGTTTTTTATTTTTGTTTCTCACATGTAAAAATGTAATTGAATACACTTGTGCAAAACAATTGCGTCAATTCATTGATGATAACTTTTCACATACAGCTGTGAACATGATGTAGCTATAGACATGCTCTATCTTGTATACTATAAAGCAGTCCTTGAGGGCATCTGCACAGCACTACCAGTCTCAGAACGTTGCATCCTGCAAATCAAAAATCTGTTAAATTACTAAGCCAAGCACCCAAACGTGACTTAGAAAACAATGCTCATGCCCTAAAGCAAAGAACACCTAACCAGTCTCCACTGAGAATAAACGGCAAATTGGAGCCAACTTTCAAGAGGTACTGAAGCCCCATCAATGCTAAATTCACTCCAAAATCACTATTTTTGACACCTACATAAAAAATGTTGTTAGATGTAAATGTATTTGTCGTCCTTCCCCCGCACCCCTGAAGATAAGCACGATTGTCTACGTACGGTGTGAAAGAAATTCTACATCCATACCCTAACAAATCCATATTCCTGAATCTATTCGTGTTAATCCATGTCCAATCAATGACCTCAGGAGGGTGTTTGACTTTACAGCTTGTTGTTTTTGGTAATTGGCAGGGATATTTATGCCAGAGACATGTAAGATTTGGCCAAGTTTCATGGACCGAGGCAGAAAAGGTTTAATATGTGAGGCCACAAAATATTTTACATGAAATGGCTTCCGGATGTCACCAATGACATAAGGGTGCCTACAACTAAAAAATTGGTAAAGCTATGGCAAAATATACACTTCTGCTGGAAAGATGTTCGTGCTCTACATATCTGGCACTTTCCCTATATTTGCAGAACACGAGCACAATACATAGTATTGATTTTGGAAAATTCCGGTAGTGTATTGAAATATTTCTTTGTAACATTTTCACCAATAACAAGCACTTCAGGCAAATGAAAAAAATCCATATTCCTGAAGATTGTCATTTCAAGCATCAGCAACTCACACAAAAATGTTACACACCATTTAGATTTAACTTGAATGTGTTCATGTGTAGCGGTTAGCATGCTTTGCTACGAACCCAGTGACCCTAGTTTGATTCCCGCTCACGGCCAACACCAGTTATGATTATCTGAACCGGTCTTGGGCCTCCCCTAGGTCGACTCGGCCTCAATTGAGTACCTAGCGATGAGTAAAAACTTTGCCACGAGGGAGACAAAGGCGGCCGGGCGTGGTGCTAGCCACCTACCCCTTCGTGTGCCATTCCGGCCATCATCGGTGCTTGCTAGCAGCACTTGCCCCAACAGTTTCTTAAGGCTATACGGGGGTGGGTCTTTGTCTTTGCCACCTGAACGGCTCAATCGATGGGTCCAGTTTGTGGGTCCCCAGCTGTTCAGATATGATTTATTTTAGATCCCAAGGACATTGCTACCTGCATCCACGGGCATTCTCCATCTGACTGAACTTGTTCCAGACCCAAACGCCAGCATACCAATTCCAGACGACGTTGGAACACCCCTGCCAGCATATACAGGAAATGTGTATTATTGTATGCAACTCGTCCCAACATTTTTTGAGCAGGAAGTCTATTTCCAGCAGCGTTGGCCATCTTTCCAGAGAGAGGCGATTGATGCATTCTCTGGCCTTGAACTTGGTGGCCAGATGTAGAATTGGGAGTTGGCCATTGCAGCTGGTATTTGTGGCGTCACTCGGGGCAAAGGTCTTGCACAACAGAGCCCGACAATCCCACCTTCAATTTGTTGCAACTAATACCATTGTTCAGGTGATGCAAGTCTAGCTTGAGCTGTCACTACAAGAAACTGTTGGGAAGTCCCCTGACTGGAACTTTTGGGAAACCCCCTGTACACAAAAGTTACCCATGCAGGTTAGACTCGATGCAGGATGCGGGACACTTGTTCGTACAAAACAGCGTGCTTGAGCATCGCTCCGTTTTAAGTCGCGTGCCGCAGTGAAAATCCCCACATGTACCCTTTGTAAAAAAATAATCTATATTTTGAAATGTATTTGGTCAGCATCAACACAATGTGTGTGTTCACAAGGCTTTCTAACAAACTGGACATCCTGTGAAAGAACGTATGCAAAAAACACTGCCTGGAGGACCTAACTCAAGTGAAACGGTGGTAGCACAAACATTTTCTGGACAATGAAACTCTGATATCAAACAGATTCCTGGGTGATTACATGCGATTGGAGGCCAGTGTGTTGTGCTGATGGCCTTGGGGAGCAGAAGCTTCCGTGTTTATGTTTTCAAGTTTGCTGGTGGATTCAGGAAGTGATTTTGTATTTGGTAGAGCGTGTTGAGGGCTGATAAGTAAAAAAAACTGGCATTTGTTGAGTACACATTTTTTTAATAAACGGATCCACTAAACTTGTTAGTCTGGCACCATTGACATTGCTCATTTAAATGTGGGCATATATAGCCCTGTGTTCCCTTGTGGCTTTTCATTCATTAGGTACAATAACAATATAATGCTGACATTCAGCTTAAAAACCAAGCTTACCTTTCAACGACTGTTATTGAATCACTGAGCCAGCCAATGATACATTCCCTGACTAGAACTATTTTCAATGTTTGCCTTGATGTCAATTTGTAAACGGAGACCGCTGTCACTTTCTATTTATAACATCGAGTAGTGCAGTCTAGAACTCCTCTTTGATGATACGTTTAATTTGGGTGGTTTCCCAGGGTTGCATTAGGGGAAGAAAAATGAGAGTGCCTTTTTGAAACCAGCAACACATGCGCTGCTAAAGTAGATCATCCACTCAAAGGGCACCAGTATTTTTTGCGGTTATGGTACGATACATTTTCTTGAAATATACAAATACATGAAAAATATTTTGCGAAGTTCCAAACTAAGGCATTGCAGTACCCTGCGACACTTCAATTATATTAATTAATCAGAATGCTCTTAGTAAACTTCCAGAATCTGCTTTTTTATTGCAGCACAACATGAAACAAACTAAACTTTGGATCCATTCCAAAAAAAGGTGATGTTGGAGGAAGTGATCAGGATACATTAAAAAAACTTTTGATTTGTGACTTGATGCAAATATTGCAGTGACATCGGTATTTTTTATATAAACTACAGTTGATTTAGCCAAGGGGCAGCAAAACATGAAACTGGCACTCAAGACATGCTTCATGGAATTCTAGATTTAAAGCTTTCGTGACTGCAAGGATCCATACTCTTTGGTTCTATTCGGTAAAGTCACGTAGGTAAAAAATAAAACAACAAAAATCACGACGTTTCGGCCACAACATAAGCGGCCTTCATCAGGTGAAGGGACCAGGCTGTCTCGAGGACAGCGCTGGAGTGAAACAGCCACGCTCAGACCGCGGACCTTTAAGCTGTGTGCGAGGAAACAAGGTGCCTTGACAAAGGAATTAGCATAAAAATTAGCATTTGATTGGCCGACTTAGCATAGAGGTGGTGTACGTGCGGGTGCACTTGCCGTTTGGCGCGGGGGGGGGGGGGGAGTTTACCTATTGATGGTGTGAAACGGGAATTTTTAAGAGCTGTGAAAGTTTGGGGTACCACTACTTGAAAGTATACTGTACCATTGAAAATTAGTTTAATGTTTGGTTCGATTTAGAACATCTTTCCAATGGTTGCTTAATTTGAAACCATCTCGGTTGAAATTGTGTCTGTGTTTGTAGATCTGAATTGCCTCGTGAAAAAATCTCTGATAAAAACCCGTGGGTTTGCAAAAACCTTGGTATCGGAGAAAATTATATCGTGATCAGCTACGGCAGAAGAATTCGTTTTGCCGTGTTTCAAATCTGATTTGTGCTCGCGAATTTGGTCAGAGACATGACAAAGCGACATGTCTGACCGAATTCGCGAGCACAAATCAGATTTGAAACACGGCAAAACGAATTCTTCTGCCGTAGCTGATCACTGTTACAACGCTGTGGGTGATCACGATATAATTTTCTCCGATACCAAGGTTCTTTGCAAACCCACGGGTTTTTATCAGAGATTTGTTCACGAGGCAATTCAGCTCTACAAACACAGACACAATTTCAACCGAGAAGATGGTTTCAAATTAAGCAACCATTGGAAAGATGTTCTAAATCGAACCAAACATTAAACTAATTTTCAATGGTACAGTATATTTTTCAAGTAGTGGTACCCCAAACTTTCACAGCTCTTAAAAATTCCCTTTTCACACCATCAATAGGTAAACTCCCCCTCCTCCCCCCCTCGCCAAACGGCAAGTGCACCCGCACGTACACCACCTCTATGCTAAGTCGGCCAATCAAATGCTAATTTTTATGCTAATTCCTTTGTCAAGGCACCTTTTTTTCTCGCACACAGCTTAAAGGTCCGCGGTCTGAGCGTGGCTGTGTTTCACTCCAGCGCTGTCCTCGAGACAGCCTGATCCCTTCACCTGATGAAGGCCGCTTGTGTTGTGGCCGAAACGTCGTGATTTTTGTTTTATTTTTTACCTACGTGACTTTACCGAATACAACCAAAGAGTATGCTTCATGGAAGCCATAAACACAGCACGGTTGGCTACGTACGGTACAAAATAAGACCAACATACAAATACAACACAAATATGCGCCTAAATGTGTGTGAAGAGGCGATGCGTGAAAGCCAGTGGAGGTGCCCGTCTGAAACTAAACTATATTTTATATTTATCAGATAAGGACCAGTGAGCTGTTTTTCAGAAGCGACCTGAGCAAAAATGATAGCTCAAAGAAGTGGCTTGTGGGGAAAATTACAGTAGCCGAGTATTCACGCATTATTCTAAATGTGGAGGGGAAAATCCACGCGACCACGGGGAGAATATCCAAACTCCAAATATACAAGCATCAGGGTCGACCCACGTCTCCCTGTAGACAAGGCGAGGTAGTTCATATCTGAACCTTATGGTGGGACCCCGGGGTCCAATAAGCCCCCTCCGGCTCTCGCATGAACATTATATAATAATGCACACAAAAACTTTGATCTTTTTCACCAATGGGTTTGGAGGATGGTGGCAAGTGTTTTATTGTTAAACTATGCATTTAAAACTGAAAACTACTTACCTGCAGTACCTCTATTTAAATACACT